AGGTTTAATAAAGCACACCTAACTAACCTGACAGAGGGTTAATTTAAAAAAAAAAAAAAAAAACAATTAAAAAAAAAATTTTTTTTTATTGCAAAAAATCTTTATAAATCTTTTGTTTTAAAGATTTAAAAATTTTAAGTACATTAATTCAGAGTTTTAAAAGCAAAATATAAAATAAAAATAAAGTAAATTAGATAAAGTTTTAGTTTCAGTAAATATTTTAAAATATATAATATATAAATATTTAATAAAAATACATATCTAATCTAGTAGAATGTTTTTTTTTTTTTAAAAAAAGTAGTCAATTTAATATTATAGATAGTAATAGAAAAAGTATTATATTTTTTTTGAAATTTAAGTAAATAATATTTAAAATATTATAGTGTATTATATTTTTATTGAGCATATATTTCAATATATAGATTTAATATAAATATAAAAATTATTAAACTTATCACTAGTCTAATCTATCTTATTATTGATAATTATATATTAATTATTTGATTTCTAATTAGATTTATTTATTTTAAAAGTAATTTCAAGTTTATTAAATAAACCATAATAGATTATTATTAATTTACAGTATATACAGTATATATAGTTTATATAAGATGATTGATATAATGCTTATCAATTTATTTACAATATATGCAACATTTAATATCAATTAATATTTATACAAAAAAAAGCAAATAACAAATTGATATTGATTTATTTTCTAAATAGTTGACATTGTATCAAATGAATCAATTTTACACCTTATATCAATTTTCCATGGGTCAGATATTCAAATCGAATAATCTTGAAAAGTTTTATTTATAATATTAATTAATAATTATATGTTATCATCACTATTATTCTAAACTTTTTTTTACATAGTGAATTTAGAAAATCCATAAATTCACAAAAAGAGTATTTTATCGACTATATAATACGAACTGATTATTTATGCAGCGTAGGTATTGTGAGAATTTACCAAAGCAAATTACAAAACACCTCAAACAGTATATATACAGTATATGTTTTTTTTTTTACACATTTCAGGGACTTTTATGGTAACTTGTACAATAATTGTTTCCCAAATTTCCATATACAATTTGAGTTCGGTATTTGTTTATGTCCACACACTACTTTATTTATCGAATTGGAATTTAGAAAAGAAGGAAGCATGCGGCATGGATAAATATTATTTGGCGAAATTTAAAATTGGTCTCCATTTTTTTTTTTTTTTTTTTGCCAACCGATTTATAATTGCAGCCCCGATGTCATGTGCATCGATGTGAATTAATTAATTTGTTCCGATTTACAATTTACAAATTAATTTCTGACAGTATACTTGTTTGTTTAATCGAATTCATACAAAATTATTCTCGGTTATATTAATAACGCCCGCTCTGCTTGATCGGAGGGATCGTCAAATATCAGTGCATTCGGGTAACTATCTTCAAATCTTGTGTTTTATACTCTGTATGTTGTACGTACCTTGTGTACCTTGTGGGAGTGTGGATAAGAAAACCTTTTTGCGAATATTACGCATGCCAAACGCACTTCATTGGAATGCATATTCCGAAGTCTGGAATCGAACTTACTTGGTTAGAATAATGTGAGAAGGAATGGCGCTGGTTGGTGGTTCACGGAAAATATTTTCTATGGGGCCTGGACTTTACTATTAGTATGGGTTGTGCGTGCGCACGATAATGTTACCATTGAAGTTTTTTTGGCATGTGCGGTTGCATTTTTATTAATGCCAATGCTTCCAACTTTCTTGATCGTCGATTCTTATTTTCGACAATATCGAAACCATTGTACGTACAGTACGTACACGCCTGCACGCTCCCATTCTCAACCTGGTCTCTTATTGACCTACCACTTTTGAAATCTGTTTTATCCGCATAAGTAAGGCCATGTCTATTTGACCTCTACAATCCTCCAGCGTCCATTGTATCGTCGGACTTGGTCCACCGGTGAAATGAGGGGTGGACACACTTGTTGCATCATAAATTTCAAAAGCCGCAAGGATCGTTGCTAAATGCGTAAAAAAAAAAAAAAAAAAAAAAAAAAAAAAGGTTTTGTCAAGTAGCCAGGACAATCTTTATTTTGGGGACCTATCATGTGGACAAATAACCTTCCAATTTGAATTTCCATTTACGGTGCCTCCCATAAATACCCGATTGAAAAGTGGGGTGCATAATCTTGTTTACCATTAGTATTGGTCACGTGGTGAGATTGGGCACGGTGTAACCGGCATTGTAAATAAAGCACGTACATACGTGCACACGCACAACACGTCGGTGACACTCCGTGTTTGAGGGCGTCGGAAGAACACCGTTTAAATAGGGAGAGCGAATGCCCATGCAATCATTTGGCGCGTGTGCGATTAGGATAAATTATTGCCACGCGAAACTTTGTCTCTTTTTTATTTTTTTTCTTCCTTTCCTTTTTCCCTGACAGAACTGATTGGCCGATGACAATGAGATGATGTCCCGAAATTGTGCCATTGTATGGTGGGCACATTGTGTGTAGCTAGTGCCTTAACGAGATATAATATATGCGGACACTATTCCAAACGGGGTGCGGACGTTGCATGTTTCAGACGCGTCAATGCATTATTACACATGTCAGAGGGACCCTAACTCCGATAGATCAATTACTCTCGAGTAAGATGTATGTTGTACGACACAAACCCAATTGTTCAATAAGGACTATTGTGGATCGCACGTCAACATTATTGAAAAGATTTCAGTCTTTATCTTTGTTCGTTTCTTTTTTTGGTCATTCAAACGCAGCACCATCCACAACGTAACAATAGGATCGTCTAACCGCACGGTGGCACTAAATTTACATAAATTTGGATCATGACAACTGCAATTGGAATAAATCAATTGGCTGTGTTATATTTATGGCGAACACGTGAGAATCACCTCGGGGCGGAAACGCACTCGCGGAGCAAGATCGGGTCGGGAGGTGACCGCGAAGGCCGTCCCAATTCTTGAGTATCGCCCGGGAGTCTGGCGATAATGGAGCGATCCCGGTCGAGGTGGTCACAACATGGCGAAACATTACATTTGACGTTGCATTTCGGAATCATGGTGACAGAATGTTCGTTCAAGCGCAACCGGAACACCTATTATTATAAGTTAACTTTGAAATTATATAAAAGTTTTATATATTACATACTATAACAGGAAATTTAACAGTCAGTCAAAAGACGGAGTGCCGGATTAATTAAAACAGAGTAGGGACGAGATTTACAAATAATACAGGTAGGTTTTTTTTTTTTTTTTTCTATACGGTGAAAAAAATTCGGAATCGGGATCTTGGCAGGGAATTTTTATTAGGGTGAAAAAAAAAAAGAAAAAAAAAAAAGTCCTCGCTTGAACATAGATTTATGTTGAAATAAATATAAATGCTGATTGTTCGAATGCTTAACGGATCAGATTACTTTTTTCGTTAGTTTTCCGTTCTCACTTTATATATATACACATGTATATACAGTATATATATATATACTTTTTTTTTTTTTTGTTGATCTTTCAGTGTCACGATGGTTTGATGTTACTGTAGCAGACTACTGCATATAGGTTGGGGTTTCAACCGTCGAGTGTTGGTTACTCTCCGCTTTTTATATACGCTAGCCAATAACATATCTTGAATTATATATATGTTTTTGAAAAATGTGCGCCATTCTCGTGCAGAAAAAAAGGGGGGAGTGAGTTGCAAATCAATCGCGTGGTCCTCCATCCATTCGGCAGAAACGGAGCGGCTGCGTACGCGTTTCGACAACACACCGACATTTCGCGCGATCACCCCAAATATATACACACATACTTCTGTCTTTTGATCAATCTTTTGCCAACAAAAAAAGAGAAAAGAAGAAAACGAAACGAAAACAAGTCGAAATGATAAACACTTAAGGCAATCTTGTTACCAAAAAAAAAAAAAAAAAAAAAAAAAGAAACCAATTAACCATATAGGGAGGGGCGCGCCAAAATCAGCTACATAATCATAGAACATAGGATGGATTATCTTGGCATCAGGAAGTCATAATTCCGTCTGACACTTGCAACAACGCTTCAGGTCCGGTGAATCGCCATTCTTTGGTTTTTTGAACATCGCGTTGTATTCTGATTTGAGCGGAATGTATCGACACTCTGGATTCGTGCACACACATTTCGTCTTCTTGTACCTATGACGACAAAGGAAGATCGCGTCAACGTTCAATCCTCGGCAATGATAATCCCGAACAAACAAACAACCAACCATCATATAGGGAGAAGTGAAAATAATAATGTAATAGATTTCGAACCTTAGCCCACAACTGTTACACAGGAAAAGGTCAGTGCGCCAACCAGGTCTCCAACAAGGAGTACTTCTCGTCCTACAACTTGCACAGATTTTTGTCTTATTGTTCGAATCACGGCGGTGAGACGCGTGTGAGGTTGGGGGACCGTGATTCACCTTGGAGGACACATACTCGGTCTTACGTTTTTTCGCGTGCAGAGTAAAGTCCGGGTCATCCTCGTCATCCCCAAAATTGTCGGAGTTGAGTTCGTAGTCGCTCAATTCGGATGTCGGAATGGAGGACAGGGAAGAGACCGAAATAGATGTTCGTCGTTTTTTGGATGCGTGATAATAGGATGATGAATGGTTTCCGTTATTCCCGGTCGAAGGTCGAGCTAATTTTTTGTCGCCCGACGCGGAGACGCCGGATGCGGAGGATCGCGAAATTTGCGAGTTGGAGAATGAAGACATGTATCTTTGATCGGCGTTTGTCACACTGCGGCGTGACGAGCCCATCAGTGGATCATCCGAGTTTCGAACGTTATCTGTGTCGATGATGCCCTCCAACCCATAACTCAGCAATTCCAATTCTATATTTTCTCGCTTATTCTTTGCCCGGGTCACCGGTCGGGATCGCATTTTTGATCGTCTCGCCTGGGTGATGGATCGAACGATGTCGGGAAGTAAAAGTGGACGATGAATGATGACCGCGGAAGGACCAGCCAGCGTGTCATTGTTAAACCTCGTGGAGTTGTGGGTGGTGTTGGTGTTGGTGACGTCAGGTTCCGCTGGCGAGGTGGTGTTCTTGTTCTGAAGGGCATCGCCATTGGTGGTGGCAGGTGACTCTTGTTGTGATGGTGATGAGGATCCATCGGTGGTGTTGTTGTTGTTGTTGATGGAGGCCTGAAACACCGCGGGAAAACAAAACACCATGCCAGGATCACGTTCCAAGTCCTCACGATCCGGAGATCGAAACGGAATCCCCTTGCGCTTTCGCTTGGACGAGTTGGCACCGTTGGCGGAAGAAGGGGAGGATTTAACGTTGGCGTCAACCAGAGTATCATTTCCACCACCGGAAACGGGAACATCGGCACCAGGCGAAGAAGATCTGATGGAGGAAGAGGATGCGGACGATGAAGCGTAAGGGTAAGATCTGGTGGTTTTGATTTTGCGGGCCTCGGCGATCTGAGAAATGAGCATGGGAAGGATTGTGTTGTCATAAATATAGTATCGCGATCCTGATTGATGAACCATCGATCTCGAACTCGTCGGTGTGGACGGTTCCGAGGAACCGTCGGTGGTGTCGTGAACGGATGGTGGGGCGGTGAGAATCGAGGGCTCGGGTAACTCTAGCTCGTCTCCTTTTCCCTTGATCATGGAACCGGCGGCGGAAAAGAATGAACCTTTCACGTCCGACGGGGACTCCATGGCCGGAGGCGTTGGTATCCCAAAGTTCGATGTCACATCGGATGCGGCCATTTCAACCTATTATCGAGCATAATTTACGGATCACGGGAGATAAGGGGTGCATTGATCAAAGTTAGTAAATAGGCGCATAATCACAATCTGATAGAGTGATTGATGGTGATGGCGTCGCTCTACGTAGATCGTGACGCAGTCGACCACAATCGGAGAGTGGACGGGCAGATCGAATTGAAAGATCGGAATGACACAAGTTTCGGAGAAACGAAAGTAAAAATTGGACGACAACATAGCAAAGGCCCAAAGTACAAAGTAAATTTGATAGCATATATCGAATCCATGAAAGGTGGAAGGTCGAAGATAAGCGTGCGAAAGAAGAAAACAGGGAGAATTCTAAAGTGCAACGTTTACGTGATGATAAACTTTTTTCTTGTTAGAAAGAGTTGATGATCGAAAAAAAAAAAAAAAAAAAAATGCTGATCGGGAATAGTGGGAAAAGACAGAACAATTGTTCTCCCGGTATATGAAAATGTGTCAATTAAGAAGTCATGTGTGATCGGAATCAAGGAATCAAGGAATCAGGTGTCAAATGGGGGGGGTACACATGGAACGATCTGATGTCGGATGTGCCGATTTCATGCAAAGTGGAAATTTCTCTGGCGCATAACATAAATTAGAAATCGCCAGCGAGAGAGATGGCGGAGTGCGATGTGACGTTTATGAGAGGGAGGGGTGAAAGGGTGAAACAGTGGAAAGGATTTTCGCACGGCTACCAAATTTTCTCGTTGCTAACATTCGTCAGGATTTCCAAGCGAAGAATAAATGAGACCGATAAATTATTTACCTGCAGTTAAGTGTCGAGATACTGTCCGAGGGAAGGTATTGATTCGAGGGTGTGGAGATTCAAATTGACGGCAATATCCACCGAGGAAGATAGCGTCTTCGAGAATTAAATAATGGATAGTGATGAAATGAAACGAGCAAACTAAAATAGGCAAGATAAAGATGGTTGTTCCAAATTATAAGTGAACATGTGTTTGATGTTTAAGTGTGAGAGTGAAACCCTTAAATTCGAGAGTCCAAGGTTGCGAGGTGGAGACGAGTTCAGCTTATATGTGCGTTTGTGTGTGCGTGTGTGTGTTTGTTGTGTGTGTGAATGAGAAGGCAAAGGTGAGCCAAAAATGTAGTTGCGTTGGGAAGTCGAGAAAGTTAACCAGTAACGAATATCCAAATTCTAAATACGATATTAAACAGGTACTAAAAAGTATCTCTATCTATTCAATTAATTAAAATCTTTCTTTTTTTTTTTTTTTTTAAATATCGGATGTTTATTATTAGACCACGAGAAATCTACGAGAGAAAATATTAGAAAAAAAAAAAAAAAAAATCTTTTTTTTTTTTTTTTTCGATTTATTTTCCAAATAGTGGTGTGGAATTTTAAGGTCCTCTATAGTTAATGTCGACGGTTATATATGTGCGAGGTATTACTTTTTTTTTTTAAAAAAAAAAAAAAAAAAAAAAAAAAAAAGTCAAGATTATACAAATATGCAGTATGCAGCTTAGTGTAAAATAAGTACGTACAAAATATACAGTATTAAGCAAAGGGTCACACAGTATATTTTGATTTACAGATGATTTATTTTGATGGATGATAAGCAGACCGACAGTATGTGTAGCCGGTAGAGTCAAGTGAGTTGTTTATTATTATACGGCAGTGAGAAAAATGAAGGTGAGATGTAGAGCGGGGGAGAATAAAAGAGGAAAAAACCAGTTAAAGACGACGAAAATGAGGGAAATATGTCACTGATGAAAAAAAAATAAAAATATAAAGGATTCTTGGCCACATCTTCCCTCCTTGAGGACAATAAAAGTTGGAGAGAATGATATTTCGACATTTCATTATTGGCAGCACAAAATAAGTGAATTACAGGTTGACGAACACAGGGTACACCGCACGGCACGGTAACGGTAACCCTATACACACAAATCAATTCTGTATTAATTTATGTATTATGTATATATATATATATACGCACAAGTATAGTTAGCCCAGAATCTAAAAAATTGTCATAACCGTTTATCCGCTCTTCCCGCGAAAATCCGTTCTCCTTATAAGATCTCGGATCACCTTTCATCCACCACGCTCGCGACGTTCCAATCCTCGACGACGAAGTTTTTCAGATTCGATTTTTTGGTAAGGGACGAGCACCTTTGGCGATCTCGGTCACTGTGAAAAAAAAGAAAAAAAGAGTAAGTCTGTGGCGGTCAAAAGAGGAAGACCAAGTAAGTTGTTTAATAAAGTTGTGACAATCCACACGAATAATAGGAATAATAAGCAAGCGTTAACAGAAATTATTCTTGAATGTAAATCAAAAGCGGACGAAATTGGACAAGATGTGCAAGACATCAACACTTCGTGATACCACCAGTGCCCGTACTATGCCATCAATTCCAAAAGGTAAATTAGTCTATTTCCTCAACTCTTAATTGTGATAACTAAAAGTGGCAATTGGCTAGGGGAAGGATACCAAGGAATCGAAGACGCACACGGTCACCATATTTCACACCACCGACGGACAGCACGCGCACGATCCAGACTTCTACGCACCAACACACCCATCATCACCACCACCACCTCCGACGGTGACACATACGACAGTGTATTCACTATATGACGTGCGTGTTGTGTTCCGAGCGAGAAAGAGTTTGTGAACCCTTTGAGGCCATAAAGATTTTCCGTTTCATTTTATATTTCTTTTGTGGTCGTCGATGATGATGACGACGATGATGGCGGTGAAAAATGCCAAGTGGGTATTTCGATAGTGTGCATTCATGCACTTTTGATACATTGCTGGCGAGGGGATACGTGGATTCATAATGCTTTATGAAATGGGAGCAAATAATTACTTTAGGAAAGACGATAGTTTGAGTAGCCAGCGTGAGTGACACAGAAATGGGCATCGCACGAACTTTAAATTGCAAAAGAGAGTTAAGGTAAACTTATTTAAGATTCGATAGGCAGTCAGGCAGTCGTTGTGTAAAATAAAATAAATAAAAAAAAAAGAATTCTTTAAGGAACGTGTGGCCAGGTGCATTTTTTTTTTTTTTTTTTTGTTTGTGTCATTGATTGATTGATTGTGGTGGTGGTGGTGGTGGTTGTTTCTGTTGACGCATTCTTTGTTTTAAAGCGGGGAAAGTGAGGGAAAAAGGGAATGCACAAAATTATTTTTCCCAAGAACGATTCTACTGTATATCGCGATGTTCAATCCGAGATGCGGCACCCTTGGTTACAACCATATCACGAGAACCATTTCTTCATGCGATGAAATTCCCACATACACACACACGCACGCACGATCGTCCCTCTCTCACACACACCCACCACTCTCGGGTGGGATTATTCCTCAATGCACGTACTCGAAGCGAAAGAAACCATGATTCCAATGTGATTTCACCCTTGGAAAGATGAATTCTTATGGATCCTTACGAGAGAACGAGTGACAACTCATTTTCCCCCATATACAGTATATCGATTCCCATTTGTGATCGAGAAGTGCACAAATGACATGAGCAAATCCCCATGTTTTTCCTTTTCCATTCATTCATTCATCCACCTAATTTCCACCAATCCATTCACTCATTATTTACGCACCCACACATTCCCTCGGCATCAATAAGGAAGAAAAAAAAAAAAAAAAAAAATTTGTTGACACCTATGCAGTATACCACCACTGTATGTGAATGAGTTGATGCGAATTTCCTAGCCAACCTAACCAAAATCACACGATTCACTCACGATCACCACATTCATTCTTCATATTATATCATATTGTGCACCATAATGTTATCATTGAAAAAGCTATCTCACCATAATAACGGACGATGAACACTCATCCAACTTTTGCCCTCTATCGCGAAGAATTCGAAGGATCAAAGGGGACCAGCCGAAGCTGACCGAGAGGGGGAAGGAAGGATGGTGACCGACTGACTTCCTGGAGAAAGTTTTCTTCCTCTTTTTTTTTTTTTTTTTTTTTTTTCTTTTTTTCTGAACCTTTTTTTCATCCGTTAGCCAAGCCGTTCGGTATTACATGTTTTTTCCTTGCACTCCCCCAATTTCATTTTAGGATTTAATTGCACAAAGTGGTAAAATTCACCAAACTCAATTGCATGATATTGCATTGTGCTATTGTGTTCACCAATTCAGTATTAACCTCCACGCACAATATATTCATATATGCGACATGTATTGTATACGTAGACACAATATAAATGTGCGTACGATGTATGCATATCCACTTTTTTCTTTTATTTCCTCAAAAGCTACGATGTTGGGTGGCGCACGCCAATTATCCAGCAGCGGACTAACTCGCGCGTTCGTTACCGAATAAGTGCACCTTCGACCTAAAAATCATCCATCCATTTAACCCTTTAAAACTTGAGGCCAGACGATGGTCAAACATGTGTCGATCGCATCCGCACCTTCGGTGGTACAGATAAAGAGGAGACTGCGTTGTGACGCGATCATAGGAAAAAAAAAAAAAAAAAAAAATTGGATCGACGCACTCTACGCAATCGCCATACTCCCCTTCCCCCTCCCACCGCCACCGGGAGAGACTATACATGGACCAAGAGTAAACCCATAGGGAAGATGGAGTACGAGATCTAACCTTCCTTGTTTAATTCTTTGCGTTGTCAAATTTTTGCCCATTAGATGTTATAATAATGAACAAACCGTTATTTATTGTTGTCGATTATTGATCACGAGATTTTGGTGTTACCAAATTAAATTACATGATCAGTGGGAAACTCGGGGAAACTCGCTCGCCTCCAAATCGAGAGATAATTTGATCACTCCACTCGCACACACGCACCCTAAAAGAAAGCAATCATTTATTGTATTATTTCGTTGCACGGTGGTCGCATAAACAAAACTGTCTGTATGATGATATTCTACGCACGACTTTATCATCCATTCACCAATTTACTGTATGTGCCCATTGGCTAGATTACACGGCATAATTTTCTTCTAATCATGTGCGATCATAGGAATTGCCATCAACAAGCTCGTTCACGAAAAATTCCGTGACACAAATCGTCGAGGAATTGCATCCCAAACACTATCTCATTGACTTTTTTGGACTCATTCATTCATCAAGAAGTGCGTACTTCGCCTATTATTGTTATCTTGTTCTACACGATCGCACACCGTCCATCTCTTCCGTCTTTTTTTTTTTTTTGTTTTTTTTTTTGTTTTTTTGTTTTTTTTTTTTTTTAAAGAAAAAAAAAATTCACTTGCGTACGTGCGGAGCAATGAGCGCGACCGTTCACAACATGGTCACATGACATAACTCCGAAGCGCATTATCATATGTGCAGCATATTTTCATTATATTTTTCTTTGCCTCTCCGCCTTGACAGGTGTCGAGTTACCGAGGAGGTTAATAATGAATGGTGCTAATCGCCACCCCTATTTTACGATGACGAAATATCTTTCTTTCTTTGTTTTTTTTTTTTTTTTTTTTTTTTTTTTTATTAATTTTTTTTTTTTTTTTTTTTTTTTATAAAAAAAAAAAAAAAAAACCACAAATTAAATCCAATTTTTTTTATCAAATGATCATGGGTAATGTGCTAACGTTATTAAAAACCTGATGCGATTCCTGATCAACTGTTTCGACCTACGTCTTTAACCTGCTGTTTTATTCTAACGCTAGCGCTAGTGTGCACTAGCGCTACCCAAAGCATAAAAGGTTAGTCTCGTGCAGGTTTCATCGGTGTATGAAGGTGTAACATGATGATGCAGAAACGACACGTGATTTGCGCAAGATCTCAGAGATAGTGTGACCGAAGCTACTGGTTGCCCTCACTACCCGGTTTTTTTGCTCATCACCCAATCGCGTGTCCCAAAAAAATTGCAAATGAAGTAAAAGTAAACGATAGTATTTGTTCTTTTTTTGGTTTTTGAATAGGGGTGAAGGATGTGCGTTTACGTTCGCACAATACAGCACGCAAATGTGCTGTCATCATCGACATCAAAAATCCTTTCCTACACTTGTGATCCCATTTCTCGGTATATTACTTCACGTGCACACGTGACCATGCACGTTGCCTTCCTTCGGAGCGATCGACCCGTCTCGGTCTTCTTCCGCCCACGAACATGAGGATTTTCGCAATTCTACCAATTTAGAAGGAAAATAAATAGAATGAAACAGAATGAATGGTAAGAAAAAAGATTTTGGTTCTCTCTCTTTTTTTTTTTTTTTTCTTTCTGATGGGAACGAATTCCGTGTAAGTAAGGTATGTGCGGTCGAAGTGTAACTCGCTGGGATGTGCGTATGCCGTACACCTTATGCACTGTCGGATTGTCGTAATACGTGCTCAATAAATCGAGTAACTGCTGTGTCCAGCCTGTCTGATCTTGTTTCGTCGATTGGAAATGTCGCCGTCCTTCTGAAGTTTACCGGTTTCAATGTTATCGAGAAAATCAAGCTTTTTTTCACTGGGCGGAAGGTAAGTATAAATTACAGTATTCGATGTACACATGCAAATCTATAACTTGCATACTACACCTTTTGTTTCTGTCTCGACTTTCTTTATTAATTGACGGTGCATACAACCGAGATGCTGTTGCAATTCAACCAAGATAATTCACATCATTATATAATCAATTAAAACCGGATGAGACAACCTTATTTTTACAATAAACTGATTGCACCAATAAACTTAAAAATATTAATTTAGATTACTTAAAATTCGGATCCTTTGGATTGTTCTCCACGGATCCTTTTTTTTTTTTTTTTTTTTTGAAAAGGAAGAAAAAATTCACAAGTTTTCTCCCTCCTCGCACTGCACCTCGTCAAAGTGAGTCTTTTTCACCCAACCCTTTTTCTTTTTTTTCACCTTGAAACGGGTAACTCCATTCAGATCAGGATTTATTAATTGTTCAAAACATACCCACACACAAAGTCACAATATTAAAACAAAAACATTTCTTTTTTAACAGCAACAACCACAACAATAATAAATAATGATGATGATAAAGCGAAAATAAAATTTCACTCTTTCCTGAACGCAAGTTTAGTTCAAGTTCCTTAAATTTATTGGAACGAGTTTTTCCTTCAGGTTCGTCATCCTGATGACGATACTCACTTCTGATAATTATTTTCGTCTCTTTAAAAAAAAAAAAAAAAAAAAAACGAAGATTCACAAGAGAAAAGTCCTACCACGTGCTATCATTCTATAAAATATGCCTTCGTGAGTTACAAAGCACGTAGGTGTGCACGCATCCCAAATCGTTTTCGAGCACACAATGAATATTTTTACGCCCACCTTCCTATCCGGTTTTCTCATAAATATTTAAGACTAGTGTTTGCGCTCTAATTTAGAATCTAATTTAATTAAGGATCTCTGCGTGATACTAAAGCGTAATATAATAGAATTGGGAAACTTGCATCATCTTCACCTGAGCGGCGGCAATGTGATCAAACAGTGGTGTGACTAGACCAGACAAGAATAGAATAGAATAGGAAAGGTAGGACCATCACGGTGCGCCCTTTCCCGGAAATGGGAGACACGTGACAAACATAAATCCTTTTGTTCCACTCTCCTCCAACCAGACTGTGAAGGCTACAAACGTGCTCACCACGCAAATTTTCATATCTCCCAGCGTTCCGGAGAGGGGAATAAAAAAAAAAAATAATACGGCCAACAAACAATACAACAACGATTTCCTTATAAAACCTACGGTTGCTTATTCTGGGACACTTGAATCTGCATATATGTTGCCATGATGAATTCCAGCGAAATTAAATGATGGGAATTCGTCCGCATGTGATTCTATCGGGTCACCTGATTTTTAGAATAATCTCGGTGACCAATCATAATTTATTTGAATTTTCGATTTGAAAATAAGATTAAGCATCGCATACATACTGAATGTGAAAGTAAGTTGATTCGTTTTATTCTTATTATTTATTTTATGTACTGTACGATTGCGCTCTAATAAACCCCGCATAAGTCGTAAGCATGCATATATTTGAGAAACACAAGAAATCTTTCATCTTAAACAAAATTTTTTCTTTCGAATAACCCCTACCAATAACCTTATCTGTTTTCGTCAAATAAATGCAATAAATGAGCTGACACCGTGCCCTTCATAGGTACGCATGTACGTGCATGCAAACATCCATAAATGACCCTTATTTTAGGTATTGTACGCACACACGTACAAACAAGGACTTTGGTTTTCTTTATTTGTAAGATCCTATAATGCGATTTCGACTTTCACTATTTGAAAAAAAGTACTTTATGATGATAGGAATCATTTGATATTGCATACATGAAGTTACACATGCTAGTGAATTGTACCAAAAACATTAATCCCTCGACCGGACCATTCTTCATGACAACGTAGAATTATGATATGTTGCGTGCTGTCTGTGCTATCGAAAACACAATTCGATTCATGGTACTCATTTCCTTTGTAAAACGTAAATGTTAAGGAATCGGTAAACAAAGGAAAATTTTATTCCAAGATATTGTCCTCTCTGAACTACCAGCCCATTCACTGTACATTTGAAATTTTCTTTGTATTCGTACAAAAAAAAAAAACCCCAATCGAGTATGTAAGCATTTCCCCCCCCCCCCCCTCCCAAAAGGGGTCACTCCATCAGTGTCCCTGGTTTTCGACGGCCTTGAGATCCGATCCGTCCCTCTCCTCTGGTAGTGAAAATCAATGTCAATTATGGTTAAAAATAGAACCGATGAGCATGTGATCTGATCTTTGCAAACGATCAAGTAAAACTAACCCCACGAGAACATCTTTCCGGATGCATTTCCACTCGCGATGAAATTAAGCGATGGGTGAAATGCGTTAACGGCTGAATCGAAAAATCGTCGTTAGAAAAATTGCCACCAGCATAGCAAACCAATCCCGATGCCCACTCCCCTTACCCGGTATGGTGGTTAATTGTTTATCCCGCATGTTCCAGATTAACTCGCCATTTATACCGGAGATGATGTCCGCGGACTTTCTCATATTGCCAATGATGAAGTGAGGATGAACGTTGGGATTGGGATGCCATGTCGCACGGAGCATGGTCACCCACCTGCAATGGGGTGACAGGCAAGATGAATTTGTGAATTAGGAGGCGTCACGAAAGGGGAAATGTAACGCGCAACCTACCTTCCTGTTTGGTTGTCATGAGGAATGGTCAAACGTAATTTCAAATTCCTTTCATCCAAGTCAAATACCCTCACCGTATCATCAAAACTGGTGGAGACAACCTGATCACCGTTAGGACTCCAATAAGAACTTGTGACCGAGTACTTGAATGGAACCTCCTGGATCAGAGTCTCCGCATCTTTTAGGTTGCGGACATCCCAAAGTCGAATGGATTTGTCCAATGAAGAGGTAACGAGGAGCTCCGGTTTTGTCGGGCTGATCGATATACATCCGATCTTTTTATCGTGTAAACTATACTCCTCATATGTCTCGACAGGCTCGCGAAGATCCTTTATACCGAATTTGCCGTCATTTGTTGAGAAATACATCACCTTGGAATTGGGATGAAAATCAATGCAAGACAAAAGATCCCTGGACACCAACGCTTCCACGAACTTCGCCTTATTGAGATCCATGAAACGGATCGATCCATCGTAGGAGCACGTGAAGAGCTGGTTGGAATCGACCGGTAAATATTTAATTGAAATTATGGTTTTCGTGTGTGCCTCAAACATAAAAGTTCGCGGCTCGTCCTCGTCATCATCCTCTGATTTCACCTTATCCCTGACATCCCAAAAACCCAGTGAGCCGACCTTGTCCCCAGCAGCAACCAATATTTTGTCCGTTGCAGGATGAACGGCCATACAATAGATCCTCTCCGGAGTTACGTTGACGGACGTCCATCGTTGGCCCATGATCAATGTCCTGTACACCCGTCTAACTGATCTGAGACCATGCTCACCGCCCACCACGGTGCTATAATCGATGTCTTCATTTTTTATGCCTTCAACTTCACTCTCCGTCCTGGTTTTTGACAAGTCCCTCAAGACCCCGAGGAAATGTTTTGCGTCGTCAAGTGACATGTCTTCCGAACGTACGGAACCCAAATCAAGATCTCCCTCTTTTCGAGCGCGTTTTTCTATTGCCACCTTCTCGGCCTTTGCTTCTTCTTCGGCCCTTCTCTTAGCCTCGGAACCATCCGGTTTAAAACCTCGTATGCGCAGGGATTTACGTGTCGGCAAGCTAGGTTCCTTTTTAGGCGGCTTCGATCTGGGTCTCGGCTTCTGCTTGGGTGCAGGTTTCTTCTTTGGAACAAGTACTGGAATATTTAGCTGCCTAAGAATTTCCTCATTGCGTCGTATGTTTTCAAGTCGTTGCCGTTCACTTAAGTGAGAACAAAAGTCGTTATTAACAAAAAAAAAAGTGTAGTCCGTCTCTGAGATACGACTAACTTTAGATACTTGCTATTCGTTTGGTATCGAGTCTCTATCAATGTTCATTTCGCAAAATTGGTTTGTCGAAATCGCGTAAAGTTGGTTGCTAAGGTGATCAGATCCAAATGATCCGAGAAATCAAATTTCCAAAAAATGTGACCGATGACGTCATGGGCTGCTGACAATGTGTTAAAAGTTCATTTGGATATTATTTATAATATATATATTTTTTTATTTAATAATGGTGAAGTGAAAAGATTGGGTAATATATTGACACCTTTTCCTTGATTGATTTTGAGTTTTTCAACATATCACTTTTTAATTGTATCTTTTTGAATATGAAATTTACAAAGAAAACATTGAAAATAAAGAAAAGAAGAATATATTTAATTATTTATAAAGAATGTTACTTTGCAAACTAAACAAGTTTAATCGAGTCTGTTGTTGAAATAGTGAAAAAGGTTTTAAACTATCAATATACCCATTTCAATTAAAAGTAATTTATTTACATTATTTTAAATTTGCTATTTAAAAATCACATTATTTTTTTAAAACAAAAAGTATTGATCTAAATTTAACAAAAAATCAATTATTACTTTAGATTTCGATATGTTGGATTTTGCTTTTATAATTTATCATCTAAAGATTTATTATTTTTATAAAATACAAAACTATTGAATTGATTTAATTTAAAAAATAATGATTTGTCACTTTTAAGTTAAAAGAATCTATCTAATTATCAGAAATAATTGGTGTTAATATTAAAAAGAATTAAAATATTTGGTGATGATTATTATAATTAAATAAATTCTCTTTTTTACAGCAGTAACCTATAAATAATAATATTAATAGTTGAAAAAGTTTTTAACTGAACTACTAATGAAGTGATAAATTACTTTTGAAATTGTACTTAAAATATGATTAACTAGGATAAATAAATTAACTAGTATTTTAACTTTAGCAATATATAATATATATAGTATCCCCCAATAAATGAAGGATCACTTAAAAATTATTAAAATTAATTAGAAATAGTTTTTATATATCAAACATTTTATTTTATTAATAAAAACTTATTTTATGTATTAAGTAAACATATTCCTTATAATAAATTCTATCTTTAATAAAATTTTTATGAAATTTGGAGTTACTTTTATTATTGTATTTAATGCATTGTTTTCAAAAGAAATTTTTTTACATTTTTGTTAAAATTTTGATACCCACTTGATTTTTATAACTATTGTTTTAACAAGAAATTTATTATTAATAAATTTTGTTCAGCATTGTTAAACTATTTAAATATAAAGTTTCATAAAATTCTATTTAATATTTAAATTTTTATTTAATAAAATGTACAATATTTAAAAAATAACAAAATATTTAAAAATTATTATACTTAATTAGAAATAGTTTATATATATATAACTTTTTATTTTATTAATAATAACAATTTTTATAAAAAAAAAACTCTTTTCACAAATCCCTCAGATCCTTAAAATTTTCTTTTTAGGTAATATACCCAAGGAAAAAGACAAAACATATAACTCAAGACACATACTCTCTTACAACACCAACATATAGTAGATATTTTAGCACGGAAAACAGCACTTCATGCATAATTCTAGTTTAGTGATTATTGAGAAAAATACAGTATAAAGTATAATCTTGATTATATTCTCTTTGCCAAATAGAAGGAAATAGGTTAACATAAACTGATTCACAGTCAGAAAAGAAGAGTCAATATTAACTTCACAAAGCTTGTCATCAGACTAGTGCAGGTTGACACCTTTCTTGACATTACAAGGAATCTTAAAGCAAATAAATTTGCTTGATAAATTAAATAAATCTCAAATTCTTCAAGATCCAGAAGAATATCAAAGCTTCTCAAGAATTAAACAACCTAACATACATATCCTATCTCCATACACATCAAAACATATTATCAGAGTAGCGCAAACACATACACATATATAAAGCTATTGTCAAAATAAATTCAACAAAAGTCCATCACAATAGCACAATAAGTGTGACTAAATTGATAAGATTATCAAATACAACTATCACAACAGAAAGTGATCAATATAAACAGAGTGTCAGGGGCCTATAAAAACATAACTAAGTTAGTATAAACAGATAAACAACCTAAGTAAAAAAGGATAAACAATATGTATCTAGTCAAAACAAAATTAAGACATATACAAAAACAAGGTTATAGTCAAAACAAAAAGCATTATATATAAAAGCTTATCAACAATTACTAAAATAGCATTAAGAATACATATTAATCCACTCACATAACTATTTATAATATAATACAACAATACAACAATAATATCAATCCATACATATATTCTATCATGAATAAAGTAAAGCAGATACTTCAGATAGTAAACAATAAAGAAAATAATATTACTGATATGCTAGTTCAATTGACAAAAAAGCATAATGAAATAGATAAACTATGGATTATGCAACAAATTGCCAAATAAAAAGGTATGATCAATCATAATGGCATGATAGCAGATACTTCAAAAACATATATTATACTAAATAGCATTATTGTCAAAATCCTAGGAATAGATAATACAATATTCTACAATAAATGAATTCTTATATAACATATCACCTTTCTCTGACATGAAGAAAAGGAAAAGGAAGAAGATCTACTTCAATCCTATATAGAAGATAGATACCTGGACATAATCAAAGAAAAGTTAACAAAAACAACACCTATTTCAATGGAAATCACTATTGATATAGAAAATGGATCAATAACAGATAATGAAATAACAATGGTGAAAAGACAAGAACAAGAAGAAATAGAAGCAAAAACTTTCAAAGACAAAATTCAAGACCATAATATAAGTGAGTGCAGCTCTTATGCTACAAGAAACAGGTAAGCAACTCTAACACTAAACTCCTATTTCATAAACAAAAAAAACAAATACAAAGTAGGGATAATAATTGCAAATGTTCCAGGTGACAATGAAAAAGAAATCAAGGCATATTTGGATAGCATATTAAAACTGTCACGAAACAAGTACAACCTTCTTCGCAAAGAATTTATTAATAAAAATAAATGATTAAGTTTTCATTTGTAGAAAGAAAAAGCTTTTCTCAAATGTTTAAAAGAGACAAACAGAAAAAAAAAACTTTTAATTTGCAACAACTCAAAAACAAGGGTACCAACCTAACACAAAATATAAAAATATTAGACAAGAAGATCTTTCAATCAAGAAAAGAGGAAAAAGAAAAGAATATATGGCATGTTAGCCTAAATAGACATAGCACACAAAACTTCACAACACTTTATAAAAGAATATCTCAAAAGATATAGTGAAGTACGAAATATACATATCTACAAGGTTAAAATAAAAACAAGGGTCAAGGTTTATATTAAGTGATATAGCTATTTCAAAACAAATCCAGAAAAATTATGGATGACCTCCTTAGGAACAGAAACTACTAGAGCCATCTTCTCTAAAAAAGAACTAACAGACAAAGAGATTAATGATATTTTAATAGAAAGAAATAAAAACTCTACAAGACTACTAGGCACAAACAAGTTCTATTCAAGTTTGATAGTCAGGGTACTCAATGGTATAGAAGCGAAAATATATTACATCCCAAGAAACCCCTTTATATTGAAGAAACAAAACTTCACAGTCATATGCTTTGCATCAAGAGAGACTCTTAACAAAGTTTGTAAATAACATATTTTCTTACAAGGGCTACACCTATCATAAAGTATAAAAAATACAGTAACAGAAAATGAAAAGACCTATAATACTAAAAGAAAAAGAGTCAAAGCATATGATATAAAAGTTGAAATAAACAATGAAGCATCTATAGACTTATTATCTGACAACGAATTAATTAGTTCCTCCTCCTCTTATAGTAAGAATCATCAATCTTCAAGAAGGCAATACTCAAGAGATCCATTTTCAAGAAATCAAAGAAGATCTTATAGAACTCAAATTGGTAGGAAAAGATAAAGAAATAATGAAAGACTTAAAAATCTAGCCACAGGAAGTAATAGAGAACCTATTGGTAACCCAAGGCCTAGCCAGTACAACAGTTTTGACAAGTATGTGTCAAATACAAAAACAGAAAATAAAGAAGACCCACTATACCATATTTTAAACAACTTAGAAAAGTTAAGTGATAGAATAGACAGGCTAGAGGGTAGAACAGCTCCTAATAGACAAACAAGATACAGTAGAAGAGGGGCAAATTGCTTCAAAAAAGATGCATCCATTGTCCAAAATAATAAGAGAAAAAACAAGCCCAGTTTATTTCCAGTAGAAATTTCAAAGAAGAGCAAACATAAACAAAAAGAATATAACAGTGTACAATTAAATAATTTGGATCTAGAAAAATTCTTACAAAGTAAAAAAACTGACTTTTTGAATAAAAAAGAAAAAAAAAAAGAAAAGCAAAGTAACAACAGAGAGGAGGAAAATGATATTGAAAAAAGGATAACAAGAATAGACACATATAATATAAGGAATATTACTGATATAACTAATTAACAATCTTATAAAAGATATAAACGAGTAAGATATAGGGATAATAGGATTGTGTGAGACCAAGCTGATGCACAGTAATACAAAATGGACTTTTAGTAATTAGAAAGAATACAAAAACTTTTATAGATCAACAAAGATATTCCATATAGTGCAGAAGTAAATCTACTAATAAAAAAAGATATCAAAAAACAAGTAACATTAGTAGAGGAGGCAGATGGTTATATGATCACTATTAATATGTTGACAAAGAAAAACAAATCTACATTATACAGATTTATATTCCATCAGATAAACATAGATACAAAAAAGTACAAGACAATTTAATAAGCTATATTAGAAGAAAACATGGGCAGGACTTTTATACAATTTTAATGAATGACTTTAACACAGCATACAACCTATCAGAAAATAGAGTATTCTCATTCAGGGCATGTTTTAGATCCTCATGGTGACCTGAAATTCCTCTATTTAACTTTCTTGACAAATAGGGTTTTTTAAATATACAGGCAATATGAAAAGAGAAAGACAAAACTTCTACAAGGCAAGATACCACAAGCAGTAGCAGAATAGATTTTATCTAGATGTTATAGAGCTTGGCAAAATATACAATTCTATGATTCAATAATCAAGTCATGAAAGAAACTACTGGAAGTGATCACACTATGCTTTTGGTAACCCTATATGATGATAATCTATTCACAAGAAACAAGACTATTAAATACTATACAATATCCAAAATATAAAGGATTAATCTAAAAGAAACATCCCCCAAACAATAGCA